CTACAGCTCGGATTGTGACGTGAAGGTTCCTCAGCCGTTCGATGTTCGAACCGGACGATCGGACGGCTCGCGGCCTGGGTACTGGCAATGCATGTTGTTTAGAACAAATAAGCCCATGCGATGGCGATGACATGTCCCTGAAAGTGGATCGTACGGACAATATCGGGTGGGTCCCGATCGACGAAACTGGCACTTTCAGTTCCAATAGCATTTCTCGGATTTCTTCGGAAGAGAGATCGCCGATCCGGATCGAACCGGGTTCGAGGGCTATCGGGCGAGCGGAAAGTGAATAGACCGCAGCGATCTCGGCCGGGCTTGAACCAGATACGAACCCGAGTTGGAGTCTGAGATCCTGAACTACCACGCTCAACAAGCCGCTAACACATTTGGCCAGCGCGTCTTCCGGCGGCGCAGGGCCATCGCCGAAGGAGACGACGTGAACGGGAATCTCCAGGTGGGGGAAGCGCGTGGAGCACACAACTGGAGACGATCGCTTGCAGTTGCTGGAGTAAGAAGCTCCAACGCGGTCATCGTGACCGTCGGAAATGAGGATGATACTAGCGGCGGAATTTCTCTCCCGCCGATCTTCGAGAACCTTAGATGCCTTCTTTATTGCGTCGTTAATGCACGCTCCTTGACCAACTTCGCAGAGCAAATCGACGATTCTACGCGCCGATCGGCGGCCATTGGAGGTCATTCTCCGCAGAGACAACAATCGCTTGGAACTGGCGGAGAACGCCACAATCGAGAGGCGGTCTGTGCAACAGAGAGAAGAAATGACTAATCGCATAGTGCGTTTCACCATCTGGAGTTTGGCGCTGTTCGCGCTCGCACTCACATCCAAGACCGTTACCAAATCGATTGGAGGACGAAGGTTCCGATTCATCGGCGATGAAGACGTCCTTGCAGATCGAGCCGGAGCCTTGACCTTCAATATCACCGCATGGGTTTCGTAGTTGCGACCGGCTGCGACCACCGCAGCCTCAGGCAATAGACTTACTTCAACATTTTTCACAATGTTGGGTAATTTGGGAGAGGCTAATGGTGCAGATGTAGCAAAGAAACCTTGAAACTCGACTGCGCCATCCTGTTCATCATCGTCTTCGTTTTCGTCGGATTCCGGTATGGGATTGAAACGAGCACCGGAAGTTGGGGACATCAAAGGCTCGTCATCGTTATAAACTTTGAGCGTCTTCGATTTGAGTTCGATGGATTCTACACCTCTCGTCTTATCCGTCTGGATTGGTTGGTTAAGAGAAGTTTGAGCATCGAGCAACGGAGCTTGGTTCCAGACGGAGCTACAAACAGGACAGGCCACAATCCGATGCTTCTTGATGTGGGCAGAGATGCAAGGAAAGTGAAAGGAGTGCGAGCATTCTGATGTGAAAATAGCGGTTCCTTGTCCTCTTCTAACGCTTTGTAAGCAGATTCCACACTTAGTCTGCAAAGTGAAAGGGGGAAGTGGAGTTAAAATGATGGGTAATTGAAAAAATAAAAATAAAGAAAAGAAAAGAAAAGAAAAGAGTTGGTTACCTTAGAGATTCGTAAGCCGGTTTTGAGGAGGGAGAAAGTGGAAGGGGATTTGGGAGAAGAAGGATTGGAGAAATGGGAGAACAATCTGGAGGCAGTGGTTTTGTTTTGGGTCATCAGCTTTGGGCTGTTGGGAGTGGATGAAGAAGGTGTGGTAGGAACAGTGGCAACCGAGGTTCGACATCGGAGACCAAGGCCAGGGTTGTCGGGGCGAGGCGTTGATGGGTTAGAGAAAAAGCCAAATTTAGAGCTGATTCGAGGGCTTTGGGCTTCATTGGCAATCCGGTTGGAGTCTGTATCATGTTTAGGAATGGATGCGCAAAACGCTCTTCTCCACCCCGTCATTGTCTGGTCTTCTGAATCTGAATATGAATCTGAATGTTGTCAACAAAAGCAAAAGCAAAAGGTGAGGAAAATGGATAACATGGAACAAATGGGGAGAGGATATGAAGGAAGGAAGGAAGGAAGGAAGGAAGGAAGGAGGAGATGATGGGAAGCCCAAAAGATTTGATAAAGGAATGCAATGAAAAGGCCACACTGTTGCTTCCAAATGGAAACTCTGTCTCTGTCTGCGTCTGCGTGTGTGTGTGAAGAGATAAAAGAGAGAAAAAAGAAAAAAAAGAAAAAAAAGAAAAGCCTTCCCTTCTCGGGAATAATAATGAATCAGAATAGCAGATAGGGATGGGGGTGGGAATGGGGTAACAATTCTGGGGTTAACTTGGCTGGTGAGGGCGACTGCCAACTGGAGGTTGCCGCCTAATATGACATGTCAACGCGGTCAGTTCCTTCTTCTGACCCTAATTTACTACCCAACAAAATGACACGTGTCCGTTTCATGTTTTCCATTTTTAATTTGGGGCATTTATTTAAATCCACTAGGAAAAGAAGACGATATAGGGCGAGGGGCTGTGAGTCTGCCACTGAACCGCTCTGCACCTCACCCACAAACTGCACACTGGGATCCTTCTGATCCTGTCCGTTTGAACGCACAGAGACACACCATAATTTAATTCTACAATTTCATTAATTTAATAAAATTAATAATGTTTCTTTTTTAGAGTGAAGGGGGGTCTTCATCTTCACTTCACTCATGGGACCAAATTCACATGCTTTCCAAACTCCAATGCTCAATAATTATAAAATTACAATGAGAGATATGTGTTCTTTTTTTTTTCAAATTTGACCTATTATTATTAAACCCAAAACCCGCAGTTTTTATTTTATTTAAAATAAGTTGATAGAGATCTACAATCTTTATCAAAGAAAATATCTCGATTTTCAAGCCACTTTCCGATATATTATTTTATTATAACACACACACACACACAATTACAATAATAATTAAAAAAAAAAAGATATTTCTGGAGGCTTCAGTTATGGGGTAGAGCAAACTTGGGTGATGCATTAAATGTGACAAGGATTGTTTTTTAAAAACCCACCATTATTAGTAGACCTAGAATTTCAAAATTAAATTAAAATTACTATCCTATTGAATAATAGGAATTTAATTGATTAATTGGAGTTTATAAAAATGCATAAAAATTAACGAGTAAAGAGAAAGAAAGAAAGGGACTTGATTAAAATTTGTGTGGGTAACATGGAGTACTTATTGCTGTCGCATTATTGGCAGCAAAACCCCTCTAATAGCTTACTTTTTTTCTTTTTTATTTAATTTTTGGGGGGCGATAATTGGTAGATTGTGGAGATGAAATCACAGCCGTGGATCTTAATGTGTTACGGAGTTCAATAAAATAAATACCCAGGGCCCACTAGGAACGGGACGGAAGGTAAAAAAGTAAATAAAGGCAATTAGTGGTAAATAATTAGGGTTTTGTGTGAATATTGGGAAACGGGGTTTGATGGGTAACCCTCGTGTGTGGATCCTCACCTCCCGGTTTGATTATGTTTTCCAAAGACGCCACCGGCTACCGGCTGCGAAGATGAATGACGTGGCATGTGAAAATTGTAATTCCAAGCTCTCCCTCTAATCATTCAACTTTTAATCCATGCATTCATCAGATAATTTATGTACGGGTGGCAGTGAGGTAATATTCATCCACGATTATTTGTTTCTTTTTTTTTTTTTTAAACAAATTATATTCTTGTAATAAATCTAAATAGTTCAAAATAAATATATTTTTTGAATGAAAATAGAACCTTGTAAATGACAACCAATTTTGTTTCTTTCCCAATATATATGATTTTTTATATAATAAAAAATGAGATCTAAATTTTTAGATAACGTTATAATATTGAATATAAATAAATACTTAAAAGAATTGTGCTATCAGATCATTGTGACGAGAAAGAAAAATGGTCCCCACCCCACTGGATTTTTCATTTTTGTCTCAAAAACAGATTTATTTTATTTTATTATAAATACGGGGAATAGAAATATTGAAAAAATGTTTTTAAAAAAAATAATAGGAGTCTGTCTCGGTTCATTCATGTACCAATGATTTTTTCAACAAATAAGTTATCAAGCAAACTTACTCCTCTCCTCTCGAGCATATCTCTTGTTTGATGAAATTCAACTGCGAATCTTGTAACTTTTTTTATTCAACACTAAAAAAAACTATACTAACATGTCTAACAAGAGAATGAGGTTGATTTAAGGGACAACAAATCATCGATATATCTGTGCCGTGGGGCGAGGAAGAGTACAATTATTTGGAGTGAATGTAGAATGGGGCAGCACATGATTGATGGGAATTTGTCATATTACATTTGAAAACTTTGTACTTTAATTTAATTTAAAAAAAACTAAAATGTAATGTAATGTTGGTAGAGTTGAGTAAACTTGAAAATTAAGAAATGAATATAAAATAGAAAAGATAGATGTAAACAAACTGGGAAGAATGGTGCATAAAGAATGATATGAACTTAAATTTATTAATGAATAAAAGAAAATTAAATAAGTAAAGAAAAAAGAAAACAATGATTTGATGTGTTTCCTAATAAATACGATCTGCATCCACCGAGGTGTAAAGGGTGGAGCAGTGGGATGCAAATTCATTCTCCTAATTATTAATCATCTCCACACTAATTACACTTAATTATATATTAATCCAATTGGATTTGATTTCCCATTCTTTCCACTTTTTTTTTTTTCTTTTAATAATTAAAATTATTTTATATAAAAAAAAAAAAAAAAGAGCATATGATTCTAAGGCATATGGCAAACCAGAATTTAAGTAGATTTTGATTATTAAATCCATGTGAGCCTTTTTTGAGTTGAAAAATTCTGGTATGTTCATTGTTTCTAAGCCCATATCTTGACCAAATCTGAGAGCACTCTCTAATTCACTGCCTCCACCTCCCAACACAAAATTCCTCCCCCTTTGCCTTATGCTGTCTGTATGCCTTCAATTTTTGGAGCATTACAGTCCTTCTAAGTTTGGTTTGAAGCTGCAATCTATATTTGGATTATATAAGATGAAATCTCGAAAACTGGAAAGAAAACATCTATGTAATAAAACTGTATTTACTGAGAACCAGAATGTATTTATGATTACAAGGATGTGGGTTTGTCTGTGTGTGCCATACAAACAAAGGCAAGAAAAAATGGTCAAAGAAATATATAATGACTGAAAGAAATAGCTGGGCCGACCCCTAAATTGCCCATTGCCAAGGTGTAGTAGCCCGAAGCCCGAAGAACATCGTATTGCTGGATGGGCCTGGGCCGCGGTCCATTTCTTTCCCACATCTCGAGGAAACAAGCAGGTCGTTCAATAAAGTCCTCATCGTCGTGTCTCTCCCGTTCATGTGCGACCGTCGCATGCCTGTCCCATTCATGCCACCATCGCGGTCAGCTCCCATTCAGTGCCGCCACCGCCTCCTTTTCATCAATTTTTAGACCAATTTCTGTCATTTTCTTTTCTACTTCTATGGCCTGAAAAATCTCTGTATATTTATAATCGGAGACTAAAATGATCAGCAACGAAAACGATGTGGCATTTGTAAAAATTGGAGTTCAAATTAAGAAACCATCATGGTTGCTTGAATTTAGTTGGTTCAAATCTTAAAAAATGACAAAAAGTGAGGAAAGATCACGAGTTCATAACTTTTTATCGGCAGAGGAGATATTTTTGAATGAAATGAAAAGCAAAAGTGGGAGATGATGGGAAACGAATGATCTTACGGTGGGTAGTGTGCGGAAAAGGTTAAAAGAGAAAGGGGGAGTGGGTGAAGTTGGTGGCAGCGATTGGGAGGCACGCAACCGAGAGTGGCGGCCGTTGTTCCCTTGGGCCTCCCCCACCTGGGCGTGGCCCATTTGCCTTTTCTTCACTATCTCCCCCACCCACTTTCCACTCTATCATATCTACACAGCTTGGCGCTTCCTAATCCCAAATCGAGATGTGAGGAGTCAGGGGATTTAGTAGACTCCCAAGCACTTCAACTTTAAACAAGGGTAACCCAAATGGACGGCAGTCACGCCACTTCCTTGGCATCCCAATTCCACACGCCATATCTCACTCTCTTTAGCTGTCTTTTCCTCGGTTACGCATTTAACTCTATTCTACCACTCTCCGTCAATTATGCTTACAGTTTATCACATTCAATCTGGACACACCCAAAAAAACAAAAAACAAAAAACAAAAAACGAATCAGAAGACAAAGCAGACTTCTTTTTTCTTTTGTTTTCTTTATTGGTGAGTGCAAAGAGCGGCAGAGACGCACCCAACACGCAGCTGGGCTCCATACCATTTCCTTTTCCGTACTCACCTGTACCTTTCCATTGTACACACTACTCTTCTTCTTCCTCTGTTTTCCATTATAAATTCCCCAAATGCGCCTCCTCTTTTCTCATTCCATTCTTTCTTCTCTTCCTTCCTTCCTTCCCCATTTACCCATTCCTTATTCCTTCTCCCAACACATGACACATTCCACATGGAGAGCCCCGATTTCTCACCGCCTCACGCCGACGCATCCAGACCCTCCTTAGCCTTTCCTCTCGGCACTGCTCTCCTCCTTCTCGTTATCTTCACCTTGAGCGGAATCTTCTCCTGCTGCTATCACTGGGACAAACTCAGATCCCTCCGCCGCTCCGCTTCCCAATTTAACCCTACTTCTCCCTCCAAATTTACCCCTACTTCTCTCGTAAGTTCGCACCTCTTTCTTCTCTTCCCTTTCTTTTTTCCAGTTTTGATTGCACAAACCATCGATTAATCTTTTTCTCTCTGGAGCAGGATTTGGAGAAGAATCAGAGAGACAGCTTATCGGTGATGATGCCCGGGGATTCCATTCCCAAGTTCATTGCGATGCCGTGCCCCAGGGAGCCGCCACGCCCGGAGATGGTCGAGGTAAAAGTGGAGAAACCGCCGAAGCCGCCGCGAATTGCGGTTCCTTTCATTTAGCACATTAAGATTCATCCTTGATTGATCTTTGTACATTGTAAAAGCAAATGAATTCTTTCCAATTTCATCTGTTATCTTCCCTTGCAAAACGCAATTTCAATTTCTATAATTTACAACCAAGTAATAAATTGAGTTTAAAACTAATCGCCAAATAGAATTAAAATTATTTTATTTTATAAGGTTAGATATATTTGAAATAAGTAATAAAGTTCATGGTGTAAGATTATGATTATGATTATGATTTTGATTTAAGATCATGGAAGTGGAGAATAAGCGGAGAGGAAAGTGCAAAATGACGACGAACACTCGCCCACCTTCCTTCTACTTCGTTTTTCACTCTTTACCGCTATGCTTCACTTTTATACTAAAATTAATTCTTTAATTCATAATGTAAATAAGAACAGTCATATAATTCTTAATTAAATGAATTAATAGAATAGTATTGAAGGTTTCCCAGCCATCATGTCCGCTTTTCTTTTCCCTTTCTAAAATCAACTCCCAACCACTATGAAACTATATAATTACTCCTTAATTCAAATTAATATCCTATACTTTAAATATTTCATTATTGAGTATTGAAATTTATTTTATTGGTTGGATTGGAAAAATATTTTATTTAATTTTAGACGTAACTCAAATTATCCTCATTAAATCATTACATTAGAGACTGCCTTTTTTGTTGGTCTTTTGCTTTAGGATAATAATGATAATGTGCTGAGATTTTAAAATTAATAAAATCAGTTCTCTATATTTTTTAAATGATTCTTTTTTTTTTCTTTCGGCATTAAATATTATTTTGATAACCCTTCCATGTGCTTTCTGTTATTTATTCTAATAATTGTGTGGTTAGAGATCAAATAATCAGATGATTTTAAAATTATGTAATATGTACAATTTTAAAAATATTAGCTTACAATATTTTTACGAACCCAACCATAAATCGATCAATATTTGTACAATTTCCCAATTCATTTGAACAACTTTAAATTATTAAATACTTACTTTTTAAAAATAAAAATAAAAATGGTTAAATTAAATTAAATTAAATTGGAAAACGACAAGTATCAAACTGGGTACTTTAAGGTCACGTTGAAAAAAAAAAGGAAAAAGGGGAAAAGATAATATATTAAATGGGAGTAAAGGGAGACGGAAATAGGGGAATTCAATAAAAAAAAGAAAGAGACGTGGAGGGGAGAGTCAAATTCAAATATTATTAAAAAAAAAAAAAAAAAGTAAAAAAGGGATTATTATTCTTAAGATTGGGTTAATGCGATGATGCAGGAATCTAATTCGTTTAGATTATTAGATGCTGCAATCTTTTCTTTTTTGCTTCTATGTAATATCAGATGCTGCATTAACAATATCATAGTATTATATTATACATACACCAAATAAAATAATAATAATAAAATGTGCTTTTTGGACACAAAATGTCTTTTTTGACCCCTTTTGTTGCATGGAATTTCAATTACTATCCTCTAAATCTCTTATACTTATCTCAATGGGTGCGTAACATAATTCAATGACACTAATCAGATTTAAGTGGAAGGATTTGGGCGCTATCATCAGCCTCCAACTGAGATGATCGTTCTTTTAAAAAAGTTTAGAATTTCCATAAATTTGGATGGATGAGATGAATAAGCAAATTTTGCTGGCATTGTGGTTATTGAGAAAATAGAAAATAAAATGTTTTGATATTAAATAGAATTTACTAAATGAAATATATAAGATTCAAATAAAAGATAAAGCGTAACAAAATGGTAATTAAATTATGATGACGAACTAGAATTTTGGTCCAATAGAGGAGCAATCACATTGGGCCTAATAAACATGGGCCGGAAGCCCAGCTTTGGGCATTTTCATTTATCATTCATAATTTTTTAGTTTTGTTTTTCAAGATGGTAGCGCGTTTTCCGGTAAAATTCAAACCAAAGCTGTCTGCGAACTGTTCCTGAGAATGCCCAGCACAAGCTCCATTTCATCCAACGGAAAACTCATGCTTTGTACAGTAGTGCCATAAAGTCTACTTTTTGGGTACCAAGATCTTCATTATTTGGTTGAAAAGAAAAACTAAATCTACTTTTACCTCGTGTTATGTGGATTGCTACTCACAGGTGCCTGGAAAGTCCGCCCGGAAAGCCATAATGCGCAGAAAGCTGATAGAGAGGAATTTTGAGGGGGACCTTAGCTGTGACTTAAATATTAATCTCTTAAAGCCTTTGGGTCTTTGCTTATTGCTTGTTCAGATGCGTATAGAATATAGAAATGATGTAATAATCAGCAGGAAAACATGAACAAGTGATTGCTATAATCCGAAGCCAACTAAGAAAAGTGAGTACTTTCATGAAAAATGGAACTCTTTTGTTCATTTCCTTCGGTACATTATTGGGATTTCATTTGGGGTATTCCAAGTCTAAATCACTAAATGCACCAAATAAAACCCAGGTTAATTATTGGAAAGAGGGTTACGGATCAATTATTTCAAATTGCAGCCGATTCATTTCATCCCTTTGAACAACACCATTGATGTTCTTCCCCCCCCGGATTTATTCAAGTGTTTCCACTACAAGCACTTCCCTCCATATCCAGCATTTCTGAACAGTGCCTCCTTTATATCATCTGAGCTTGCCACTGCTTTCTCACCGCTTCCCTGCTGACAGAAAAAAGACCAACATTTTTTTTTTTTTATTGAACATTCAGAAAAAAGAGACGCACAGACATCGAAATATTACAAACCAAAAGAAAGAAACAAAACACAACAAAACAAAACCTCTGAACAACAAGCTTGCATCGAGAAATCATTGAAGCAGCTAATCACACACTGTTGAATCTCAAGCCCCAATGCTTCCAATGTGTTCACAGTGGACAGCAATAACCCTGGCCTCGTCGCACAGCAAATGTCGATTCGAGTCTTACTCTCCCTCTTTTCAATATCGAACTGTGTGTCACAAACAACAAAGCTTCATCCATTAACTCAGCAATGGCGGACTAAAACTTAACGGTAAGAACAAAAATACCACACCTTTGGGGAATTTCTCACTTGAACTTCATTGGGCTTCCCTTCCTTGGAGATCGCATTGAAGCCCACGTGATTCGAATCTAAACCAAATTCATCTTCTTCTTTCAAGTTATTGATTCTTTCTAGCAGCTCTTTCACATAATCGATCGTGTCTCCAAGTATAGACGTTCTATCCATCTGCTTTACATAAAAATAATTATAAAAAAAAAAAAACAGTGGGAATTTCCATTACAAAGGCAGAAAAAAGAAGCACCTTGCTTATTTTAGGGACTATTGCTCTGAGCATGGAAAGCCGATCATTCAACCGCTTCCTTCTTCTTCTTTCCGCCATTAAATTCTTGGAGGGCTGTCCTTCAATCTTCTTAGCCTTGTTACTGGTTCTTTTCCTGGATTCTGCGACACCCATTTTGGAATCATTAGTTTCACGCCCACCCATTTGCTCCATTTCCACTTTGCACACACTTGGAGCCGCTTCAGCCTCCATAAACCCAAGTTCTTCCTCCTCCATCCCCACCGGAGGGAACCCACTGTTCTTATTACTCATTTCTTCTTGCGAAACGAATGGTGGGGTTTCGTTATTCCTAGTGTACGATGAAGAATCGAGCTCCGGCATCGCAAAGCCTTCGATAAAATTGGTGTAGAGGTGTTGATCGGCGAAGGAAAAATCAGTAGCAGTTTGGAGAGCGGGAAAATGGGGGGAAATAGAGGTACCCATTTGGGGATTTTCATCAAAACAACCAAAATTCCAGGTATTTTGGAAGAAATCATTGAAGCCATTTGAATAAGAGGAGGACCAAGGCGTGGAAGCTAATAACTCCTCTAAGAAACCATGTTGACTGAGCTCCATTTTGTTCGTTGTTCTTCCCTCTTTTGGTCTGAAGAAAGTGGAGAACAGAGTGTAATGAACATGGAGTTGCACCAAGTTGGGGAAATATTATAATAAACAAAAAGATAAAAAGGAAGGGTTTTTCTTTTAATTTATTTTTAAGTCTATAAAAAAAAAAAAAAAGTGATCATCATGGTATACTGCATATGGTATGTACTAACCCTAGGGCTAGGAGGAGGGGTAGGAGGGCTATGGCAAAAAAGGAATCTGCTTTTTGCAAAATCTTCTCTCTCGTCTGTGAATTTATGTCTTTTTCACCGAACTTATCAATCAGACAAAATTTGTTTTCTCTTTTCAAATAAACAACTCAACATGGGTTTGACCCACAAATCTGTCTCACCCCAAAACACATCACCAACCAACCATCAATCATATAATAATACTATCACTCTATCACCCTCCCTTTTCTCTCTCAAATTAATTAACTTTAATCTATCCACTTAATTATATCTCTAATCTATCATTACGTGACAATCAAACAAAAATGTCACTAATCTATTACTAATGATCTCCTTTTATCTTTATTTTCTTTTGACATATTCGCTACATACTCGCGGTATAGTCATGTTATTGTGACAACTGAGTAAATTAAAGGTACATGAATGAACCGAGATCACATACATCTAACATACGGTAGGTTCATCAATTATTTATAAAAACTTAATTTTTCTTCTTGCTATAACATTAATTGTGATTGCAATTTATCTGTTCTTTTATATATTCTCTGATTACCGTAAGAAAAAAAAAAGATTAACTTACAATGGTGATCCGTCAAAACATCATATGAATACCTATTTGAATCATTTACCCACTTTTCCCCCTACTTTACTAAAGCTATCAAAACAAAAAAAAAAATCAAAATTCCATCAGGGTTTTGAATAACTTTCTTGACTCTGTGACTACTCCAATCAAATTCAAAAGTTTCTAGCATGAAAAGTTGGTAAATTTAAAGAACAATATGAAAATAAATTTTAAAAAAAAACGTACAAATAACTAATATGGTGCATTGAGGAAGGTGGACATGTTTAAATCTCCATCGCCATATTTACTATATTGAAAAATATATAATTATATGACGCAATAAAAATGTGGGGTAACATAAAATAAAATAAAGTTGGAATTGATTTGAATATTATGGTTTAAGGTCCATTTTTATGCGCTGTAAAGTTGGGGCGCAGTAACATTATTGAGCAAAAAAGGCCGTTTGCTTTTTCA